TGACAGAGCGAGACTCTGTCTGGAAAAAAAAAAAAATTATTTTCTCACCATACCAACTAAAATCATGTCATATAGCTCTGTCCACATATTCAGGGAACAATAATGGAGGATCCCAGATCTGGTACTATGGCCATGTGGCTTTGGGCGAGTGCCTTTACCTCTGTGAACCCAGAAAATCTGAGGCAGGTCTCAGTTAATTTAGAAAGTTTGTTTTGCCAAGGTTGAGGACATGCATGTGACACAGACTCAGGAAATCCTAACAACATGTGCCCAAGGTGGTCGGGACACAGCTTGGTTTTATATATCTTAGGGAGAAATGAGACATCTATCAATATATGTAAGAAGTACCTTGCTTCAGTCTGGAAAGGTGGAACAACTTGAAGCAAAGACAGGAAGACTTGAAGTGGGGAAGGAGCTTGCAGGTCACAGATGGGTGAGACACAAACGGTTGCATTCTTTTTAGTTTCTGATTCGTCTTTCCAAAGGTGGCAATCAGATATACATCTATCTCAGTGATCAGAGGGCTAACTTTGAATGGAATGAGAAGCATGTTTGCCCTAAGCAGTTTCCAGCTTGAGTTTTCCTTAGTGATTTGGGGTAGTTTCCTTTCACACCTCTTAGCCTCAGTTTCCACTTCTGCAAAATGGAGATAGTAATGCCTCCTTTGGTTCTGGACTCAGTCTTGGCCCCTCCACCCTCATTTACTGGAACTCTCTGCCCCTCAGCATCACTGAGGATGGGGCTGGGAACCCATTTGTCCTGAGTTCCCATCATCTACCTTTCTTAGGTTCTCACGTGAGACTTTGAAACTTAAGAGAATGCGGCCGTAGGAGGAGAACTCTAGAAAGGGTGAGCCTGGGACCCTCCTGGACTGTGTCTTGGAGAAACCCCAAAATGAGGTATGATGAGGCCATCAGTTCTTGGCAGGAGCAGCATCTACACTGACACTGCAGTCTGCATCTGATTCTGCTGTCAGGAAAGGGCTCCCAGCTCCCCATCTTCCTGGCTTCCAAGTCACTGTGCATATTGAGAGCTTGAGCCCAGGACAGGTATAAACTCTAGAGGAGCACAGTTTGACACTTTTTGAAGTACCAGCTTGCCAATCCATTTCTAGGTCAACTCCAGCAGAATTCAAATAACCAACGGGATTGTGGAGACTTTCCATTACATGAGGATGTGGGACAGGGACCCTCCAGTGTCTTCCTGGCTTTCTTTTTTCAGATTTGTAGGCACAGTCCTTTCCAGGCTTTGTAGGTGCAGGGCTCCTTGCAAACGATGGATGCCTCTTGTTTTGATGAAGAGAAAATTACAGCACTCCCTCTATTGCCAAATAAAGACAGAGTCTCTTTCTAACTGATTTTGCTTTACCGGCTGGAGAATCATTACCTTTGGCATTGCTGAAACAGTTCAAAGAGAAAATTAAGAAACTTGGGGACCATAGTGGGGTTATTACAGAGAAGAGGCAACATGTTCCAAGCACCAGTAGGTGATGTGCAAACTGAGTTTGAGCTGCTACTTGCCGGCTTCCACTTGCCCCACCTTATACTGGGATCTGCCCGAGGCTTAAGGAATCTTCCCACGTGAGACTGATTTGCATTGAAGTGCTTGAAAAGTGGCACTTTTGAAATGAACCACTTGAAATGAATCACTGTCCTTCAGTCCATTTGAACCCCTTGTGGTATCTTCCTAGATTTTCTATTAATGTTTTTCTATTGTTCTATTCTGTTTTAAAAAGCTGTCAAGTTGTTCTTATGGTTTGTACTGGAAGATAAATAACAAGCTGCGTTCTGTGTGATCTATGTGTCTTCAGAACAGTGGAATCACTCTTGGGGGCTGTTCGTGTATACTCTTGGGTGGGTGTTTGAAGCCAGAAGAGTTTGATTATGATGAGCTGGATGGATGGGGGAGCAGAGGGAACAAATCCAGGTGTTGTTTTGCATCTACCACAGAGTCCAACAGACCTAGATTCAAATCCCAGCTCTGCCACTGATCAGCTGTGTGGCCTTGGGCAAGTAATTTCACCTCTCTGAGCCTCGATTTTCACTTCTGTGAAACTGGGATAAGAAAGACTCCCTTAAAGAGAGAACTGACCATTGAGTGTTTCTGTCTGCTCAGCATCCTTCCCTCCTTCTGGTACCAGCACCCCCTCAACTTTGGGGAACTGTAACCAGTGACCTTCTAATGAGACTCCTGACATGGCCCTCCCTGCCCAGGGGTAAGCACATGACCCACTGCAGGCCGATCAGACTCCTTCCCTGGGATTTATATATACCAAGAGAGGAAAGAGAAGTTCACTGTTTCCTCTGGAGCAACTGTGCTAGGGGATGCCAGCCTAGAACTGCCTATGACCTTGTTTCCTGCAGATAGGAGTCAGGTATGGCTGGGTCCAGATGTTCAAATGAAGTTCTTAGAGTTCCACCTCTCTCCATCTCATGCTTCTGTTCTCCTCCATGCTGGCTTCCACAGAGCCCATGCCCAACTCTGAATCAATCATTCTGACCAGGCTTGATTTGCCAGAAGGGCTCATTTATCCATCTTAAAGCCCAAGGTGGCCACAGACTGGCTGTGGGTGTTGTTTGTTTGTTTGTTTGTTTGTTTGTTTGTTTTTGGGACAGTGGCTCACTCTTTCGCCAGGCTGGAGTACAGTGGCACGATCTCAGCTCACTACAACCTCTACCTCCAAGGTTCAAGCCATTCTCCTGCCTCAGCCTCCCAAGTAGTTGCGACTACAGGTGTACGCCATCACGCCCAGCTAATTTTTGTATTTTTAGTAGAGACGGGGTTTCACCATGTTGGTCAGGATGGTCTCGATCTCCTGACCTCGTGATCCACCAGCCTTGGCCTCCCAAAGTGCTGGGATTACAGGCATGAGCCACGGTGCCTTGCCAACTGTGGGTCATTTTTTATAGGAAGATTAGAGTACTGCTCCCAAAGAAGAGCAATGCGTGAACACGGGAGAAATCAACAGATTGAGTCCCGGCAGAGAAAGCAGCACGTGCCAAGCTGTAGAGATGAGAATGTTCCCGGACCAAACTGAGGGTCAGGCTGCTATTTCTCATGGCCCAATAATGAGATGCAGATGAACTGGGGAGAAAGAGAGTTTCTATTTCTGTAACTGTTACAGGGAGAAGGCCTGGAAATTATTGCCAGACCAACTCAAAATTACAAAGTTTTCTAGAGCTTATACACCTTCTAAGTTATATGTCTACGTGTAAGCGTGCATTCATCTAAAGACATAAGTGGGCCGGGCGCAGTGGCTCATGCCTGTAATCCCAGCATTTTGGGAGCCTGTGGTGAGCAGATCACCTGAGGTCAGAAGCTCAAGACCAGCGTGGCCAACATGGTGAAACCCCATCTCTACTAAAAATACAAAAAAGTTAGCTGGCTGCAGTGGCGCATGCCTGTAATCTCAGCTAATCGGGAGGTTGAGGGAGGAGAATCGCTTGAACCCAGGAGACAGAGGTTGCAGTGAGCTGAGATCATGCCATTGGACTCCAGCCTGGGCAACAAGAGCAAAACTCCATCTCAAAAATAAATAAATAAATAAGTGATTAATTTCTTTTAATCTATAACTAAGGTCTGAGTCCTGAAGACCTTCTTCTGGAGCCTCAGTAAATTTACTTAATCTAAATGGGTCCAAGTAATGGGGCGATTACCCTTATCTTGTCTCCTGCTAAATCACGGGGATTTGGGGGAGTTCCTTCAGACCTCCAATAAACTTGTTTGTGGAGGTCTGGGGAGTTTCTTCAGACCCCCAGTAAAACTTGTTTAATCCTAAAATGGGTCCTGTTAAGAATTCCTTCGTTATTTTGTCATGCTTTGAGGCCCAGGAAAGGTCTAGGCAAAATTCTTGGTGGGCTTTTGTTCTATTCCAGCATTTGTATGAGGGCACTGGCTTTTAATATTAAACTTAACCACTCACTCAGTACTGAAATAGTTGTTATGGAGGCCTGTATTTGGTGAGACCTGGCCTGCCACAGGAAGAGGACTTCTGTGGGCTTTAGAAGTTCACTGTGAGACAGAAGGAGAGGCACAGGTGTTGAGTGGGTGACAAGAAAGAGCCTGAAGAGAGAGGTTGGAAATAGATTCTAAAGGGCCCCAAGTAACAGTGTAGTTTCCACATCAATGGGATTATTTGCATAAGGGGTGAGTCAGGTCCTTAACTCCTTCTCCCCAACCCAACATTGGCTTGAAAAAAAAATTTTTTTTTTTGAGATGGAGTCTCGCTGTGTCGTCCAGGTTGGAGAGCAGTGGTATGATCTCAGCCCACTGCAACCTCCGCCTCCCAGGTTCAAGCAATTCTCCTGCCTGAGCCTCCTGAGTAGCTGGGACTACAGGCATGCACCACCACACCCAGCTAATATTTGTATTTTTAGTAGAGATTGGGTTTCACTGCATTGGCCAGACTGGTCTCGAACTCCTGACCTTGTGATCTACCCGCCTCAGGCTCCCAAAGTGCTGGGATTACAGGCGTGAGCCACCACACCCAGCCCATTGGCTCAAAATCTTGTACTTAATAGACACTCACTAAATATTTGATGAGAAAATAAATAATTTTCAAATTCTCTAAAACAAGGAAGAATTATAAAAACAGAAGGAACAGAGAATATGCGCATGCCAATTAAACAATTTAGTTTTTGAGTGATAGCCATGAGCTCAGAATTAGCCTGGGCAGTTTTCATAAAGATGTTGAATTCTCAGCACAGTCCTTGAGGTAAGGATTATAATAATAGTAGCCAATGTTTATGAAACACTATGTGCCAGACATGGTGCAAAGTGCTTTATTTACATAGAGTATCTCCAGTGAATTCTCAGAACAACCTTATGAGGTAGGTATGATTTCAACTTTCATTTTCCAGAAGAAAAAACCATGCCAGAGAGGTAAAGTGGCTTGCCTGAAGTCACACAGCAAGAAGGAGCAGAGGTGGGATTTGAAATTGGCTACACGATGATTTCATAAACCTCTGGAGTGTGTTCTCTGTGCCTCTCCCAGGAGATTTTTATTTGTTCATTTCTGGCACAAGGATGATTCTCTCGGTGGCCCTGGAGAAGATGATGGTCCTCCCTTGGACCTTGGTCCTGTGGGGCCAGCTGATGATGGGCAGGAGGCTGGCCAGGACTACATTGAGGATAGCGGTCGTGTAACCCCAACCCAGACGGCACTTCCCACCGTGATACATGGAGGAGGCTTCGCAGACTTCCTTGACGAATGGGGAGGCAAGGCCGATTGGAAAAACCAGCAGACCCATAATCATGGCGGTAGCTGGAGATAGCAGGAAGGAAAGCCAGTGTGTTGGCCAAGGGGCACCTCAATAACTTTCCATCCCACAACTCATCCACCCTATATCCACCCATCCATCTATCCACCCACCCATTCATTCATTTGCTTATTTATTGGCTCATCTCTCCTTTTATCCACCCACTCATTCAACCATGCTTCCAACTATCTGTCCATTCACTAACCCATCCATTCAAACATACTCTTACCCACTTATTTTCTCTATCCTTCTATCTACATATCCATTCACACATCCATCCTTCTATCCATATTCCTACTTAACCACCTGCCTCCCACCCATCCATCTGCCCACCCATCATCCACCCTTATCTTCCATTCATCCATCCAGTCTGCCCATTTTCCTTATCCACTAAGATATCTGCCCATTCATTCATTGTTCATCCATCCACTTATCAACCCACTCATTTATGCAATTCCCTAGCCCACCCATCCATCTATTCACTTACTTATTGGCTCATCTCTCCTTTTATCTACCCACTCTCTCAACTACACTCCCACCCTTCTGTCCATCTGCTCATCCATCCACTCAACCATGTTCAACTCCACTTATTCTCTCCATCCCTCTATCCACCTATTTATTCACTCATCCACTCATCTGTCCATCTGCCTGCTTAGCCACCTGCCTCCCACCCATCCATCCATCCACCCATCCACCCATCCCTCATCCTACATCCATCCAACTATATTCCATTCTATCCATTTTTCCTATCCTTCCATCCGTCCATTCATCCATCTACCAATCCATCCATCCAGCAGTCCATCCATCCATCCATCCACTAATGTATCCATCTATCTGTCCATCAGTTCATCCATCCACTTGTCAACACACTCATTCATCCATTCACCAGCTTACCCATCCAACCACGTGTTCATTCATCAAAACTGTTGGAGGTGTTGCAGTGGACATTAATGATACTAATGAAATGACTGGACACCTTCTTGCTTCCAAGGCACTCATAACAGAAATCAGAAGATCCCTGGCCTCCCTTGCTGCTCTCCAGCCACCCTTGTCTACTTTCAGTTCCCTGAACATGCCTTGCTCCCTTGTCTCCGTGCCTTTGTTCTTCGTGTTCCCATTACCAGAAACGCCCTTGCTTGTACTCTTGGCTAACTTCTACTCATCCTTCCAGACTTGGCTCAGGTGGGACCTCCTCCAAGAAGCTTGCCTTAACCCATCCATACACTGGGCCCATCCATACACTGGGCCAGGTGCTTCCTGGAGTTTTTTCTAGCATCCTTTGCTCATCCCCATCATGTGAAATATCCATTGACTGATGCCCTCCAACCCCCCAACCAACTAGACACTGCAAGCAAGCCTAGGACAAGGATCATGTCTCCATCAATTGACTCAGCAAATGTTTATTGGGCATCTATTATGTATGAAGCACTGTGCTAGGGGCTGGTGATAACAAGGCAGACAGACATGTCCTTGTCCTCATGGAACTGATGTTCTTTGGAGAAAGGGACAATAATCAACTAGGCAGATTCGATATTTCAGGTAAGTATATGCTATGAAAGGTATAAAGCAAAGTAAGAAGATGGAGAATCTAAGGAGAGGGAAGCTCCCTTAGCTAGAAGTCATGGAAGACCTCATGGAGGCAGTGATATCTGAGCAGAGCCCGTAATGGAGTGAGTAGCAAGACCTGCAAAAATCTGGGGAAAGAGGAGTCCGGCGGAGGGAGCAAGCATGGTATATATGAGCAACAGACTGCAAATCAGAATAGCCAGGGCACACTAAGCCTGGCGGAGGAAGGAAGAGATGAGGTTGGTGAGAGACTGGGGACTGGGTTAGGTGGAGCCTCATAGGCTACGGTAAGAAGTTCGGATTTTAATCGGAGTATGATGGGAAGTGATTGGAGGGTGGATAAGCCAGTCTGAGGGGCATGATCTGATGTCAACTGAACAGGACGCATTTGTCCAGTGTGTGGCCAAATAGACGCTAAGGGGGAGGAGTGAGAGCAGTGAGACCTGTGAGGTGCTTATTGCTATAATCCAGGCAAGAGATGGTGGAGCATTAAGTGAATGAGGATTGCAATGAAGACCTGGCTAGTACATTCAAAAGCTATGTATAAATTACAGAAAAGTGACTCTTCTCGAGAGATGCAGTCTTGCAGGTTCACAGTTTAGCAAGTGAAGTATGGGCTAGATTTCAGCATCTCCTCAGTTCTCAGCTGGGCATGCTTGCACAGTGCACAACATCCCCAACTGTGTATGGTGGTCCTGGTAAGGATGACATGAAGTGGATGGATGAGAGAGAAACAAAGGGGGACAGATTATTAAGACTGGGTCAGCTAACAGCGGGAATGGGTGACACTAAGGATGCCATCTCTCCCTCCCCCTGATTTCTGGCTTGCCAAAGGACCAGGAATAGTCAACAATCCTAGGGTTTATCTCTGAGATCTGACCCAAGAGGCCAGGCTCTGCTCACAGACTCATTCATTCATTCATTCATTCATTCATTCATTCACTCATTCCATAAATATGTCTAGAGCACTGACTATGTGCCTGTGCATTGGATTTACCTGCCACTGCCTGCACCCCCGGCATTGGAACACTGTTTCTTCTTGGGCACAGCCCTTTGGGGGCCACAGCCCAGGACAGGAGGAAAATTGCATTGAAGGCCAGCAGGAGCCAGCCTCCGAGGAGCATCACAGCTGAGACCTGCAGGGAAGAGACAGAAGGAAGTGTGTTGGCTAGGACAGGGGCAGGTGCTCCCTCTGCTCATTGACCAGCTTCTGAGTCCTTGCAGCATGTGGTCTGTGCTATTACGATTTCCATTTTACATAGAAAGGAACTGTCCAAGAAAATAAACTGTCCAATAAAAGTCCAAGAAATTGAAGTCATTTGCCTCAGAACACATGGGTAATTAAGTGGTAGAGCCATAATTAAGATCCACACTGACTGACCAGCATATAGTACCTTTATTAAGCACTTGCTACGTGTCAGGATCATCAGGAGAGGCACCTGGTAGCTGCCGTTACATCACCCTTATAACAATCAATTTTGAAGACTGTATATTCTTCCTTAGACGTGCTGGACTAGGAGTCCTTTCCCATTCTCCCCATTGTTGATTTTGGCAACGTGCATCATAACAGGGACTTTAACACCTTAGCTTTCACTTTTAAACCTAGCAGTGTTTAGAGGGTGGCCAGGTAGGAGTGTGCAGGTTGTACACTGCACAACTCTCAGAGGTGCATTGCGGGCCATCGTAGATTTGCAAACTGATTACAGTGACTTTCCAGCAGATGGCAGTAGAGCATCCTAAAGAAGGGACACCTTTTCCTAATTTGCACGAAGGTGCTATATTGGCTGGCAGCTGCCTTTGGAATCATCCTGCACGTTTGCTAAATTATTAGTAGCCAGACCCCACTCCACGCCTATGGAGACAGGGGCTCCGGGTGGAGCACAGAACTTGGCATTTTTGCAAAGTTGCACAGGTGTTTCTGAAGGGCTGTCAGGTTGAAGAACCTCTGTGCTCAGTTCTAAGGAGAGTAATGGCAAATTCGTAGCCACTGGGACACCCAGGCAGCGAGGAAAGCCTCCTCGAATTCCATTCAGCCAGCTTTCCTACCCTGATGAGTTTAACCGAGCCCCTGAAGACCCAGTGACTTGGTGAACCAGCTCTCACCTTCCAGGCAAAGTCAGGAATATCCTCCAGGGAACTGAAGGTCGCGCAGCTCTGGTTCCAGCTGTTGCCCTGAGGCCAGGAGCAGTAGGTGAGGATGCCAAAGGAGAAGGTTGGGGTCTGGAACCAGGCAGGGGAGATGAGGCTGAGGGCTGAGGTGCAGGTCAGAGAGAGCCCCAGAGCTACCCACACGCTGCTGAACATTAGGAAGTATCGCTGACCTAGGGGTCAACAGGGAAGATTACTGATGGAGACTGCAGGGACAAGGAGAGAAACGGACTGGCAGAGGTGGTCCCTAGCCAAGGACCTGGTGTTATGATCAGACCCCACATCATCAGCCCCCCTTGAGCCTGGAGATGCAAATGGGAGGTGCTAATAACTGTGGTCTGGTAGTGGGGGTTACTTTGTCCTAACAAATTCTAGAAGTACAACCCCCAAGTCCTAGAATAAATGTTAGCCCTTAAAGACCTTTGAACATGTGCCCCTCCACCTTCTGCATGGTGCATCATTCTCACTGGTCCATGCAAGGATCTTCTTATATTCTGTCCATACTTTCATTTATTCATGTGTTTGTTCATTCATCCATTTATCCATTCTTTCAGCCCATCAAGCCTCCCCTGTTCAAAAGGGCTGCTTCTACCCAGACTGGGCACCTTTTAAAAATTCACACACATAGAGGCCGGGCGCGGTGGCTCACGCCTGTAATCCCAGCACTTTGGGAGGCTGAGGCGGGCGGATCACGAGGTCAGGAGATCGAGACCATCCTGGCTAACATAGTGAAACCCCATCTCTACTAAAAATACAAAAAATTAGCTGGGCGTGGTGGCGGGCGCCTGTAGTCCCAGCTACTCGGGAGGCTGAGGCAGGAGAATGGCATGAACCCAGGAGGCGGAGCTTGCAGGGAGCCGAGATTGTGCCACTGCACTCCAGCCTGGGCAACAGAGTGAGACTCCGTCTCAAAAAAAAAAAAAAAAAATTCAGACACATATGCTTGCTTGCTTGCTCTCTCTCTGTCCTCTCTCTCTCTCCCTCCCCCCCCTCTTTCTTTCTTCTTTCTTTTCTTTCTCTTTCTTTCTTTCAGTGAAAAAAAGCTGGAGTGCAGTGGCATGATCATAGCTCACCACCACCTCAAACTCCTGGGCTAAAGCAATCCTCCCACCGCAGCCTGCTAAATAGCTGGGAGTACTGGGGCACACCACCATGTCCAGCTAATTTTTATTTATTTTAATTTTTTGCAGAGACATTCCGTCACATGTGGCTAATTAGAAACCTTTTTTTCATTTTTTGTGGAAACAGGGTCTCCCTATATTGGTCAAGCTGGTTTCAAGCAGCACAGATGCTGTTTATAGCAGCCACCTTGTTTTTTTATTTTAATCATTTAATGTGTGTCATTTTGTGTGGAGTTAGGTTTGCAAAATTGGTGTGGTGCTGTATGCATGCATTTCTCATTGCTGCAGATGGTATTATCTTTATTTTTTTTTTGAGACGGAGCCTCACTCTGTCGCCCAGGCTGGAGTGCGGTGGCGCGATCTCCGCTCACGGCAAGCTCCGCCACCTGGGTTCACGCCATTCTCCTGCCTCAGCCTCCCGAGTAGCTGGGACTACAGGCACCCGCCACCACGCCCAGATAATTTTTTGTATTTTTAGTAGAGATGGGGTTTCACCGTGTTAGCCAGGATGGTCTCAAACTCCTGACCTCATGATCCGCCCACCTCGGCCTCCCAAAGTGCTGGGATTACAGGCGTGAGCCACCGCGCCCGGCCTATCTTTTTTTTTGTTTTTTTTTTTTTTTTTTTTTTTGAGACAGATTCTTGCTCTGTCACCCAGGCTGAAATGCAGTGGTGCCATGCCAGCTCATTGCAACCTCTGCCTCCCAGTTTCAAGCGATTCTCTTGCCTCAGCCTCCTGAGTAGCTGGGACTAAAGGCACGTGCTACCACACCTGGCTAATTTTTGTATTTTTAGTAGAGACGGGGTTTCACCATGTTGGCCAGGCTGCCAGGTGGTATTATCTCATGTTTTGCATTCTGTGTCTTACTTTTGGGCTGAAACAACATGGGTTTAGGATGCATTCATGTTGTCATGTGTACACCTGTTCTGCCTGTCTTGGTTTGGGTTCCCTTGAAGCAGATCCCAAGGGCCTCACCTCCTAATATCAACCTTGGAGGTTAGGGTTTCAAAATATAAATTCTGAGCGGACACAAATATTCAATCCATAGCAAGACTCTAGTGAGAATCTGTGAATGTGGTTTGATTTTGCATATATTTGTTCTTCTTTTTTTTTTTTTTTTTTTTGGCATGATACTGCTTTTCCAATGGAAATTCAAATGTTGGTTTTCTGTTTGTTTTGTTTTGTTTTGAGACGGAGTCTTGCTCTGTCTCCAGGCTGGAGTGCAGTGGCACGATCTCGGCTCATTGCAACCTCCGACTCCCTGGTTCAAGTGATTCTCCTGCCTCAGCCTCCTGAGTAGCTGGGATTACAGGCACAAGCCACCACGCCCAGCTAATTTTTGTATTTTCAGCAGAGATGGGGGTTCACCATGTTGGCCAGGATGGTCTCAATCTCCCGACCTCGCGATCTGCCTGCCTCGGCCTCCCAAAGTGCTGGGATTACGGGCGTGAGCCACCGTGCCTGGCCAAAATTCAAATGTATTTTAATAAAAAAGCAAGTCAGTATAAAGTCAAGTCTTACTTAAATAATAATAGACATGGTTTCATGGCATGGTTGAGGCTGGAAGGTGATTTGCTAACAAACAGCCAATCCCGCCCTTGATGGCCAGAAAGGAAGACTGAAAGGGTGAGCCTGCCCAAGGGCACTCAGGGTCAAAAGCAGCTGAGCTGCCAACCAGGCCAAGGGCACCTGGGCAGCTTTGCCAGGCCCCTGCCGTACAACCTTGGGTTTCACCTTGGCCAACTAAGCCCAGCCACCCACTAAACATGGCGGGAATTCTGGGGTTGGAGGCCAACCAACCACTCCACCATATCCCTGGTGCAGTACCTGGGGCAAGTGGCCCCATTGCTCTGGGCCTCAGTTTCTCCATCTGTACAAGAAGATTATGAATCCCTTAATCTGGACTAGGGGAAGATAGTGTTGGGATCAGTCAGTGGGCAGGGTGATATGATGGAAAAAGGCAGAGAAGCCCAGATCCTCCCCTTCCCATCTATCGGAGTTTGGGGAGATGGCCTCACTTCTCTGGAAAATGGGAGTGAGGGTTGTTGTGAAGCTTCAAGGGGATAAAGTGTGTGCGTGTGTGTGTGTGTGTGTGTGTGTGTGTGTGTTTTTCTTTTGGTGTTGCTGTTTTCCCTACACCAAAATCAGCCTCTCCTTTGGGTTGGCAAGATCCTGAGGGGTGTAATTCCAGCCAGGAAGCCTGGAAGAGCTGAATCCACTGAGGCCTATGATTGTGCCTCTCTCTGGCTGCGCTAGTGACTGTCCAGGCGTTTCTCACCTTGAAAGGAGTTTTGTTCTCCAGATAATGCTCAATGTCACCTGGGAAAATCACGCCAACCGTCCAGGTGCCCAGAAACCTAAATGAGGCATTATAACCCGAAACCACATCCGACCAGGCTGCAATTAGCTGGAATCCACCTAAGGGAAGCTTGAAAGGGACTGAATATTTTCTCCTCTGGTTCAGTGCTTAACTTTTAATAGCAGTTAACAGTTTCTGTGCGCTCACTAGGCTTCAGTCTAAGCAATTGCATAGGTAAGCACTCATTACCTATAAACCCTGTGGCCACCTGATGAGGTAGATACTATTATCACTGTTCCCATTTTACAGATGGCAAAACTGAGGCTCAGGAAGCAAGCCATAGAACTGAGACTCAGACTTAGGGAATCAGGCTCGGGTTCTGGGCCCAAAGTGATATTAAGGATTTAATTTAAAGGCCAACGAACCCAGTGGCTTACTAGAGCTGCCCAGGGTTAGGGCATGGTCAACTCTCCTGACAGCCCTGCCCAAGGGGCACGGATGATTCCAGAGAAGCCACACGAAGGCAGAATCTCAGGAGGAGAAATGGGATTGGGA